TCATTTGTTGATTAGGCTTCTCAAGTCTTGTATATTATTGTACTGACTGCTTCTTTTCACCAAATATGGGTCACACTTTCACGTTTCTTTGGGGTTCTTAGGGGTTGTTGTTGTTCTTCCTTGTTTAGTAGCTCGCCCAGACTAAATCTGTGAAGCCTGTAGTGTGCAGCCACCAGCGTTTTTCTCACTTCTGGCTTTTGTTTGTTTGTTTGTTTAATTCTTATCTTTATTTTTAAGCCCTGCTTCCTAAGGATTGTTTCTGTGTCAGCATTGCTAAGTAGTCAGTCAATGATTGGTCAGAGGCTGTGCTAAAACACCAGCTGAGCCCATAAAACTTCTACCTTCTTCCATGGCTCTGTGATGAATCTAATATGTGGGTTACAGACTACATTCCAAATTCAGGCAATTTACAAATCTGCTCCAGCTTTTTTACTTTCTGTTGGGCACTCTTACGCTCCCTGTACCTGTTTGCATGGTCTCAAGTTCTAACAGGACTATGTAGATACCCAGGGTACTCTTTGTTCTCTCCAAACCATGTGCTTTGCCAGAGACATGTAAGAGCTTATCTATTAGGGATCATATTCCTACTCTGCGTGTTGTTCAATATCTGAAAACAATTATTTTTGTATATTGTAAAGTTTTATAGTTGCTTGTGATGGCAGGGCCAATTCAGTACCAGTTAATCTGCAGGACCAGAAGCAGGAACTGCTCTATCACTTTTTCTTAACTGTGTGATCTTGGGCAAATCACTTAACCTGCCTTAGCCTCAATTTTTTCATGTCAAAATCAGGCTAATAATAGCTACTTCAAAATACTGTTAAGATGAAAAGAAATAATATGTATGAATTCCTGATAATGCCTTAAAGTGTCTGCAGAAATGCCACAAATGATTGTTTATTACTGTGATTGTTAAAATATGTATTGGACAGATGTGATTGAAAAGGCTAACAGGAGATCAGCATAGTCAGGTAAAGAATCATATCTGAAGCCATAGCTCTCACCATCCCACAGAGCAAAGATTCAGCAGCAATGGCACAGCCTATAGACTTTGGATTGGCCTAACCAGCTACTGACATGCCTGGATAAAGAATGGTGTTCTTGTAGCCAAGAAGAACCAGATGAAGGCCACTGTCCATAACAAGAAATGAAAGTGAAAGCATCTAGCATAATGGAGGCAGGGGAGTATAATGGAAAGAATATATAGGCTTTGGAGTCAGACAAACCTGGGTTTCAATCACAGATGTGTTATTTGATGTACATAAACCACATGTTCTATAATCTCATCTATAAAATAGAGATTCATATATACCTTGCAGCATTGTTCTGAAAATAAGAGATACTATATGTAAGGTCTCTGGTATATAGCTGAAATGCAGTAGCTACTTAATTATTATCTTTATCTTCTGACTATATCAGTTCTCTGCTTAATAATTTTCCTTGGTTTCTTATCTCCCTCAAGAAAAAACCCAAACTCCTTAATATGGCTTATAAGATCCTCCATGACCTGACCACCTTTTACCCCTTTAGCCTTGAATCTTGCCCCTCTATGAGCTTCCTTGACTTTGCTTCAGCCACACTGAACTACCCTCTATATGGAACATTATTCCTATACTTGACTTGGTTTACTGATTCATACATTACTTTATTCATTCTTTTTTTCATTCCTTTACAAATGTTTATGGAGGACCCATCATGGAACAGGTACTGGAATATAGCAGTGAACAAGGTATATATATACACCATGTCCTCACTGAATTTATCCTGTAGTCTTATCATATCTGCCAAATCTGGACATGGGACCTCTGCTACATACTTATATGATACCATGGTTTCCCCTCTCATAGCCCTCTTAATGCACTATAATCGCTTATTACCTATTATAAGTTAACCCTCATAAGCTGTGAGCTCTGTGGGGGTATGAATCATGTCATCCTAATCTTTACTTTATGTCCACTGCCTAGTGCATTAAATATTTATTGACTTAACAGCAAATTACTGTTAAATGAAAATGTGGCTTGGCTCTGAAACATTCCCAGAGCACCTATTCTGTGCAAGACACTGTAGAGATAAGGATACAGGTCCATCACCTCAGCGCAAGTGAGGGTAACAGCCACCACAATCTCTTGCTCTTGGGCCCAGGTCCTCATTCACTGAGCTAACAAGCCCATGCTGATACTCTCTCAATTCTACTGGCGGTGATAACTCACCACTGCCCTCCTCACCAACTCATCTGCTAGAGAAGAGTTTTCTTCCTTCTCAGTACTTTTAGGGCCCCCAATCCACAGAGTTCTACCAGCTTCACAGACCCTGCTTATGTCTCCAAGAACCACAAGAAGTTCTGAGCAGCGGCAGCAGGTGCACACACACGAATGCCTGTCCGTGAAAGACCAGACCCACGTGAGGCATCTTTTGGCTTTCTTCTAGCCTTGGGGAGCTTCCTGCCTCCCTTGGGCACTATCTCCATAGCTTCATCTTCTTTCCTCAGTTACAAATGTCAAAGCCTAATTGTATTTTCTCTCTCTAAGTGCACAAAATGAGTATAACTGGAATCTCAGTTTTGCTTAAGAAATTAGGTTGGTCTCTATTACCTGAAGCATTGAGAAAGTCATTCTCATGTACTAGTGATGAGCATCAAAATCAGTACAACCTTAGGGCAATTTGGCAATGTATGTCAAAAGTTGCTTAAAAACTTATGCCTTTGATACAGTAATTCTATTCCTAGGAATCTATGCTAAGGATAATTTAAAATGCAGTTGTCCCTTGAACAACACAGGTTTGAACTGAATGGGTACACTTATATGCAGATTTTTTTCAACAAATATATAGGAAAAATTTTTGAGATTTGAGATAATTTGAAAAAAACATTGTTTTCTCTAGCTTACATTATTGTAAGAATACAATATATAATACATACATCATACAAACTACATGTTAGTTGACTATGTTCTCAGTAAGGCTTTTGGTCAACAGTAGGCTCTTAGTATTTAACTTTTTGGTGAGTCAAAAGTTATACATGGATTTCTGACTGTGCAAGGGGTCATCACTCCTCACCTCCACATTACTTAAGGTCAGCTATATATCAAAATGCAAGTAGTTACCCAAAATGCAAGCATAATATTCAGGAGAAATTTGTCTCTATCAGACTTGCTTAAGTTACTTATGAGACATGCAATTTCAGATGAGAGTTATTATTACAAGGTACTTAGGTCCAAAATTTAGCCATTTGGAGATATGAGATAAAAAAAAAAAAAGCTCTCTACTCTGTAATGCGGTGGAGCATTGAGAGGAATGGACTAAAATTTCAGAAATCAAACCCCACCAATGACTTGTATGATGGCCTTGGTAAATCACCTAACCTCCCCAGGCCTGTTTCTACATCAATAAAATGGGGTAATAGTCAGTCTACCTACCTTGGAAAGGCATGTAAGGAGAGGACCTTTCCCTTTTGTCTATACTAGTGAGCTTTCGGTAATGATAGGAATTGTCTTCATTGGCTTCCCTTTGCCTTTAGAATGACAAAATCCTTACCACAGCCACAGAGCTCCCAACAGTCTAGCCCAACCTACCCTCTAGCCTTATTTTGGGCATAGTCCCCCTGTCGGTCACTGTCCTCCAGCCACACTCCTCCCCAGGGCCTTCACACATGTTTTTCCCTCGGCCTGAAATCCCATACTCCTTCCGCCTGGCCAATTCCTACTTATCTGTTAAATCGATCTTTAATGTCACTTTCACCAGAATATCTTCCTAGACAACCCCCAACATGGTTAGGCCCCTCTATTAATTACATCCTCTCAGTGTCCTCTGCAGATTCTTTCTAAGACTTTCCACAATGGTCCTGAAATACCTGTTTACACCATTATTTATCTGGTGGCCTCTCCTTTTCCAGTGTCCCTGAGGGCAGGTTCTGTTTTTGACTTGTTCATGGCTGTGTATTTTTAGGGCTTGGCAGAGTGTCCAGGAAAGAGACCAGAGGTAATCTGATAACTGAGTGGATCCTTATAGTTTCAGAGCATCAGAGATAGGGATCTAATGCCTTCATTTCACAGTTGACAAAACTATCACCCAGAGACAATAAATGACTCTTCCACAATCACATGGCCAGTCAGTAGAAGAGGCAGTTTTTGAATTCATTCATTCATTCAATAATTTTTTTCTAAGAGCCTACTATATTCCAGTCACTGCCCTAGGTGCTAGAGATACAATGGTTGTCAAGGTAGCACCTGACCTCCTAGGACTTAAATGGTGGTGGAGGAGATGGCCAATAAGCAGATAAACAAAGGGCAGTTATCACTATCTCAGATATCATATATCTATAAAGAAAGAGGTGCTCCGAACACAGTCATGTAACCTGTGAGGACTTAGATCCATGTTTTCTGCTTCAAAGTGCAGGGCTCTTTCCACTACACCACGCTGCCTGCCCTGAGTAAACAAACAAAACCATAATTTATGAGGCTCCCTCAGCTGCCTGTGTGTGTGCTTGGTAGGGTGAAACTCTCATGCTGTCCATGAAAAAGGGCCAACATCATCAGAAGCAGCAGCTGACTGGCTTGCTTGCTAAAGCAGGTGTCACAGCGTTAGCCAGGCTGGCCTCTACTCCCTTGAAACTTCACATCTGGCGCCCAAAGAGAGAGGGAGTGTGTTTAAATGAGACAGCTATTGACCAAATGGATGGAGGAGGGTTGGAGTTGGCTGGTCTCTGGGAATGATGCAAACCACAAGGGGACAGTACTCAGGAGGTGAACAGAGAAAACAGATGGACTCAAACTGCAGGCATGACTATTGCCTGAGCACCCCATACATCACTGTGGGAAGCAGGGGGAAGCCTCTCTGCTGCTGGAAATCTTTTTTTTTTTCATTTATAAAGGCACCCTCTCATGTCTGTACTTGGGGAAATAGAATGTACATTCAGACCACTGGCTTTCCCCTAAACTGTGAATTTCAAATAGAAATGTTCCTGGAGGAAGAGTACAGAATGCATGCAGAATGACACGGCAGTCTACCTGAAAGGTAGGAGTGCTGGTGGATCAAAGGGGAGTCACGGATTGGACAGGTAAGTGGAACCACAAGGATGCCCATGGAAACACTGGGTTCACCAGCTCTTCTTCTTCACTTTGTCACAGCACCAGTTTTCATAATCCAATGTGCCGTCTATAAAATAAAGTGGACATTCTAATAAAGGAGACTTGAAAAAAAATAAATGAAGGATGTAAATTTATTTTCTCACAAGGATAGGATTAAAGCACAAATCTCTGCTTTGAAAATAATAATAGTAATCATTTACTGACCAATCACTGTGAGTTGGGCATTTTATTACCTCGAATCCTCACAATACTCTTAAGGTAGGTACTACCTTCATTTTACAGATGGGCAAACTGAGGTTCAGAGAAGTTATGACTTCGTGGAGGCCCCACTGGTAGTAAATGAGCACTGAGCTCCAGTCTGACTGTAAAGTTGAAGTAGTTTATACAAAAACCAAGAAGTGACAATTCTTGTCAGATAGCATAAAGTGCCTGTCTCTAGCTGCTCTGCTGTTTCTATCGTTTTATAGGCTGGGAAGCCACATAACTCATATTGTGAGCTATACACAATTCTAAGTAAAGCAGGGCAGCTTTATACAGGAGTTTCAGGATAGCTCTTCCCTTCTTTTAGGGGTGAGCCTTGAGATGTGAAGCAAAAACTTACTGCTAGAGCAGAAGTATATCACTGTACAGCCCCAGGTATAATGGCTGTTCTGTGAGTGCCTGATATGTACCCTAGTGATGATATGCGAGACTGCTTTCTGCACACCACACCACCGGAGCACAGCTCATGTCAAGAATGGATGACAGCAGGACACTCACAAGCCTGCCCCTCAAATCCCAGCTCTGCCATATGGTAGTAGCTGGGCAGCCTCTCTGCCACTCAATTTTCTAATTCACAAAATTGGGCTGATATCTATGCCTCACAAAATTGTTAGGATTAAGTGACATAAAGCATATGGAAGTACCTGGCATGGAATAAATGTACAATAAATATGACGGGATGAATTTAGCTGACCAGTTTGGGACTATGGGTCATTTTGGCCCAGTGAATTCCAGGGAGATGCAGTCAGTTCCAGGTCTAAATCAGAGTGTGTGTTCGTGCGTCAGAGAATGGCCTATGTGTATCTTTAGTGGAACAGTGGAACCAATCCCATCTCCATGGTTTAACTAGGACTATGGCTCAGGCAAGAGCCAGAGGATTTCCAAGCATGAGAAGACCCAGCAAAAGGCAAATCATTCCACATTTGAAGTCACTCCCAGTCTTCTCCTGTCCTGAGTTCAAAGGAGATGAAAGGAGTTACTCGGCTAAAACTGAACTAAATCTAACTTCGTATTATTTTCCTCTGCTTGCTCTATCTCAAGATGAAAGTTTGGCTCTCATTACTTATGACCTACTTCATACCAGTAATGTTCTCTTCAGGTTACACAGTAATTTTTTTGAATATAATATACAAATCTGACATGTTACAATTCTTCAATGGCTTCCTATTGCCTACAGGGTGAAATCTAAACTACTTAGCAAAGTCCTCTGTGATCTGCCCCCTGTCTACTTCTTTGGCCTCATAACCCACTATTCCACCTCTCCCCAAACCTCTGATAACTTCCAACACACTTACCACTTTCTCTTGTGCCTGTACCTCTTCAGGTCTCTGTCCTATTCCTTCTGCCTGCAATGCCCTTCACTTTCCAATCTGGCAAGCTCCTATTCTCAAGACTTCAATTTAAGGACTTCCTTATCTGTGAATCCTTAATCATTAAGACATCCGTTCCCTGTGCTCACACCAACTTGTGGGCACACACCTCCTTTACATAGAGGAGGAAAGAATATAGGTTTCAAGTCAGTAAGTCCAGAGTCCAAATTCTGGCCATTTCTACAGGCCAGTCAGAACACCAACCGGAGGAGAGAAAAACCTTACTCTCTAGCCTGATGTATAATCCACTGGTATGGTTTTCCTTACATAAAGATAGATATAGCAGATCATAGCCTAAAGATTCAATGACCTGAACCACTGGTAAGATCATCCCTATCAGGGACGGGCAATTTTAAAGGTGTAATTCATTTTACTCCTTTTGTTCCAATTTCCATATTCATTCACACCCCCATCTGACAAGGAGTCAGCTTACCATACAGGTTTACTAATCACAACCATTCAAGTATTCTAGTTCTTCCAATTTTTTATTATAAATTTATTATTAAAAATAAATACATCGCACCACTCACTGGGCAAATCATTTAAATTCTTCAAGCCTCCTTCATTTATAAATAAAAAGTGTTGTGAGGATTAGAGAAACTGTACTTAGCTACTTAGCACAAATTTTGGCCTATGGTTAGCATTCATAAATATTACAGTTCATTATAATTATTTGTCTATGCCTCTCCCTCCACTAGATAGTAAATTCCTCAAGGGCAAAAAATGCATATTTGTTATCCCCAGCATCTAGCACAACAGTGGGCATATAGCAAATTTTTAAGAAAGTCTAAACCATACAAACATGCATGTATTTCCCTTTCCAATGACTGTCCAGTAAGGCAAAGAACTTGTCATGTATGTGCTTCTCTTATATCTTTTACAGGTGCCACCATGGTTATGGGGCAAATCAGTAAACATTCATCCAAGGCACATTTATGAGCAGAACAACACATTCTTATTAGGGACTGCTATATAGTGGCAAAGTCACACGATGCAAAGTCTGAAGACTTTCATTCGCTTACTGTGAGATGGTGTTGAGCATACTAGCTTAACCATCTGGGCTTGTGTTTTGCAAAATGGGGGGAGAGAAAAACCTTGCAGGTTATCACAGGCATGTAATAAGATGAAGCAAAGCCCCAAATAAATAAAGGTAGAATGTAACTAAAGGGGGACAAGAGAAATACTCCTATCATGCTTTATGGTTTACAGGAAAATGGTTCTGTTTTCTACATATCCTATTCCAGGATTGAATAAAAGAGCATGACACCATGATTATGCTATGTTTATATAATCTTCACACATATTTTTGGAAAACCTGGTTTTGACATTCAACATGGAGAACACTGCCTTGGCCTGACCATGTGCAATCAGCGGACAACAAGTGCCCCAGGACCACTTTTCTACCTGTGAACTTGCAGCATGGTTTAAATATCACCAAAAAAATGCCAGTTTTCCTCTTGTTTTTCTTACACAGGTTAAGTCAAAGGCAAGGCCAAGATTTGGACAACCTTCTTTAAGGAAAAACAGTGTTCTTAATTTAAACTGAAACTGGATTGCTTAGGGAACTATGCTCTATTTAGAAGAGTTTCCTGGTAATCTAAAATGAATCAGAAAACTTAACTTTAGACTCTCTTTAAATTCCTAACATTTATTGGTCTACTTATCTAACTTTGTAATTTAGTAAGTATGGTATACTGAACATAACTGAATCTTTGTTTATAGATTCAGGACCACTTGGCAGGGATGTTGTTGAAAGGGCTCAAGCAGCAGATGAGTGGCTGAGTTAGATAAACATTAAGGCTGTCTTCAAATCTGAAAATTTGGGTCTGAACAACTAGTTGTACTTTCACTTGTAAAAATGAACATCAATCATCATTGGGCAGTATAGGAGTGTGAATTAATCTATAGGCAAGAGCAGTATAATTTAGTGACAAAGTCTACAGGCACTGAAGCCAAATTGTTAAGATTTATATCCTTGCTCTGTCACTTGCTAACTTCATGACTTTGAACAGTTACTTTACTTCTCTGCCTCTGTTTCCTCATGTGTAATAGAGGAATAAAAGTACCCATCTCACAGGGATGGTATGAGGATTAAGAGTTAAGAACTCTAACATACTTGGAACAGTGCCTGGGACACAGTAGGTGCTCAAAACATTTGAGTTATTCTTTGTTAGTTTCATATGTTAAAATACAAGGGGCTGTCCATGCAATATTTCATTAAAATCTTAAAATAACCTTTTAAGGTAGGTGGTAGCTCTCTGTGGAAATGAGGAAACCGAAGTTCTCAAGTAACTTACCTATGGTCATCCAGAGCCCTCTGTCTCCCAGCCTGCATTGTTCCCACCACAGCCCCCTGCTTACCCAGCGTGCCAAAACAGTTGAGTGTGTACAAAACTGAGTTGAATTTATTATGCTGTTCCAATGAAATCCTAAACCCTCTAAGCTGCCTTTTAGAAAAATCCTTGGAATAATAACAGTATCTGCTTGCACTCTTGTCAATATTCTCATTCTTAAGGTAGGACAGAAATAACTCCATTAAGGGTTTACTTTATCACGGTTTACTTACACCCTGATCATGTAAATGGCCAAGTGACACCACAAAGCTCAATAAAATCCACTGAAATGGTGATCCTTCCTCAACACGTGTCTTGTCATAAATCCTTTATTGTTCTTTGCACAGGACTATAACATTTTGCCCATATGATTACCCAAGTTCTTTTCTGAATTACTAAGTCCCTGTCTACCACCCGCCTAAGCATCATCTCAGTTGCTATCTAGCGCTGTTTAGTGTGCATGTCCCGCCACTGTGAAATGCTAACCTGAGCTGTTGGAATTCCTAATGAAGCTTCTCCAGGACTAAACATGATGAGCATTTAACAACTGTTTTGTGCTCTGGAGTTGAATGATCCAGAGCAGACACTAAACAATGTGGTTTTTGTATTCTTCAAGAGCAGGCCAGTAAAAGACACAAAACAAGAACCTTAAAAAGGAAAGCCTAAAAGACTAGAACAAAGTAGTTAAAGAAGGCCTAGCCATGAAGAACTTTGAGTATTAAGAAAAGGAGGGGAAGAAGCTGAAGTGAAGCCTCCAGAAACAAGGAATCTGGCAAAAGCAAATGAGAAAAGAGGGGAGAGGCTTCAGGGAGCCAGACAGTATCTGGGTTTGAAATGGAAGGGGAATTCTGGAGTTAAGGTAGGTCTGGATCAACAGCCTTACCACATTTCTCAGGCTAAAGAGCCTGGGTGGCAATCTGTGGGTGGCCACACTTAAGAACACAAAAAAACTGGACACAGACACAAGTGACGAGAAGTGTCATGCAGCAGGCAGCGGCAAGAGTCTGTCCTGAATGCAGTCATTTGGGCACAACATGCCCTTCAGAGGGCACGGTGACAGCATGGGCTAATTTACAGAGCTGCCAGAGCAGTAACTCAGAAAGCAATACTGCCTTCTCACAACAAAATGAGGCAGCCCCAGAATGTTTCATGGTGGTAAAAAGCTGCATTACAGCATAATGAGATCCCGGAACCAATGAAAGGAGACAAGTTTACCAAAACGAGTCTTGACACAGAATACGTTTCTGGCAAATACATTATTATGCACTCATTCTACTCATGTCCTGAAGAAACTATTTAGTTTCCTTATATGGCCCTTCTCTTCAGCTCTCTCTCGTATAGTAACTAATGTCTTTTTAGAGAAACAGAGAGAGAAAAGAAATAAAACTGTTCCACTCGACCCCTTCCCCACCTCAGCTTTTTTGCAGGGAGGTGAGTAGAGGCTCACATCATTGAGAGTGTCAGAGAAGAACTACCAGCCTTTGAAACCACTTTTTAAAACTGAAATTATTTCTGCTAGAGAAATCTATGTTGATGGGGGAAGACAAGGGAAATATTGCAATTGTCTATGCTGGCTGCCAAATTAGGCAGCCTTGTTTTAACCATGACATTTTTCTTTAACCCCATCAGAACTTTAATTTCAATACTACTACAAGTAAGATAAAACATGCATACCTGGGTAGAAATACTCACTATATGGCATACAAAAATCAAAGAAAATGCCAGCTGTCACTCTTAAATGAGAATCAACTTCTAATGTTACTCTTCTTAAAATCCTCCCATTGGTTCTTACAGTCTTCAAATAAAATCCAAACTCCTTAGCAGGGCCCCAGCTTCATTTCTCAATACATGTTCCCCTATGACTTCTACAGTCCTTTCCCCCCAAAGCCAGCCTCCTCTGCCCAGAAAATCCTTTACATTCCACTTTGCTTGGCAAAATTCTTCTTCTTCAAAAACCAACTTGGCTTCCTGTCTTCCAGAAAGACTTCCTCAACACCCACCCTCCCATGAGCGCTCAGAGGACCGTGTGTGTGTTTGTTCCCGCACTCACTGTAGGAACATTATACATTTATTTACTAGCTTGTCTCTGCCACTGGATCCTGAAGACAAGTGCCAAATTCTAGGATTCTGTTATATCTCTAGCGCCTGTATACCACAGGCCTGACACACATTAGATACACACAAATGTTTTAATTAATAGTAAATATAGTTAGTCATCCTCTTTCAGTAAGAAAATCTCTCTCTCTCTAAAACCTTTCATAAAATAGAACAACTGTCTTCCCCCTTTGATTACATTTATAGCCACAACACTGAGTTTGAAAGAGTGTAACATCCGGGTCATATCCTTGACAACATTTCAGGAAGTTGGTAGCTAATTGTATCATTTATGACATCAGGAAGGAAGCCGCCGTTTGTAGAGCACCTATGTACCACCATATTGAATTTATGCAGATACACATCACTTCGGTCTTGACAACCCATGGTAACTTACTTCAGCTCTATTTTTGATTTGACAAAGAACCTGATGCTTAGAAATTTGCCCAAGGTCATACAGCCAGCAAGTGATGAAGCCAAACTAATACAATATGTAAGATAAGGACTAGATTTTCCTCTTAATGAACGAAAAAATGAAGTTTACTGAAACTAAGATTTCTCACAGGGCTGAAAAATACTGAAGAGAGTAAATAATTTGTCCATGTCAGACTATGGGTATGTAGTTTTAACAATATAAACTGAAAACCAGCCTTGCTTCTGTTCAGGGTTTAAATAATTGCACACACTGCCACCATACTCTCAAATAACAGATGCATCAGACATTCACTGTGAAGCACTGTTTTAAAACAACTCAAATTTATTTAGTTCATGTAGATAACATGGTAGAAGTTTATATTAAAAAAAAAAAAGCCGCTACTCCCTACGTCCTCAAGCCTTGCAGACAGCTCAGTCAGGCAGCATATTGAGCACAGGGATCATAGGATTTGCACTAGCCTTTCAAAGATGGAACTCCAACCAGCACCAGAGTTTTCCAGTTCAAAATTCAGTTTTATTCGAGGTCCTAGCATAATAATTAAAAAAAAAAGACTGGATTGTTTTTCTCTTTAATTTCCCATTCCTATTTAGAAAAATGACTGAAGGAAATGACAAAAATAACCATTGAAAAGGGATTCCTCTCCAGAAGTTCTTAGTAAAGGGAAGGCCAAACTTTCCATATTTTCACATTTTAAGAAGAAAGAGGTTTAAAAATAAAGTCAACCTTTATTTTGCTTGCTGTACAAAGACTCTGCCTTCTCAAGTCTTAGACATAATGCCAGTACTCATCTCCCAAACTTCTATTCTTAATCAAGTCCATGGGGTGCTGGCTGGAGTCTGGGGAGACGGCTGCTGAAGATGCTCATATTAATCCAAGGTCAGTCACAATCCTAACCTTACACAGTAGACAGCTGACCGCATCACGACATATACCAGGCTAAAGCCCAAGGACGAAGTCAGACATCCCTCATCTATTAGACATGACTCACACCAGCAGTCCAGGCCGTGTTCTTTCCCCAGAGCTCACTACGCAAGGTCACTGCCATACCACTTCGATCCACTGAGCTTCACTCTCCAGCAGTAAGGGAGGTCACATAAAAGTTATCATTGGAATAGATGATTTTCCCTAAGTAACAAATGAAAATGTTTTTACTTGCCATTTAAACCTATGAACAACTCAGTCTCTCCATTTCTTCTTGGGCAGCCTGTACTTTTAGGTAAATGAGAGTGTTAAAAATACAGAAGAACAACCTCTGTATTTAAGTTGCTTTACCTCTGGCCTTGTTACCTTCCTGGAAAATGACTGTTTCTGAACACAGGTTCCTTGAGAAGGAGAAATTTTACTTAAATGTTGTATAGTATATGTACAAAGGGATTCTTTTTTATCCTTCACGTCATCCTATGGATTTCACTCTCCGAGTATTGAGAGTCAGAGAGAGGGGGGCAGACAAAAATCGCAAAGAGCAATGAAAAGTGTGCCCTGTGTCAGCAACTTGACGACTCCTCTAATATCATCAATGCTAAGTAATTTCTGTTGGAGTTGAACACATCATTACATTTCTATTGTGCTCTGCCTGAGACTTTTCCCTAACCACTAACTATGAAGGAAGGTTAGAGAGCTTTTGTGAAAGGGATAGAACACAGTAACGCACTGGTCTGTAGCCAGGTATCGGTGCACTGTATAATGGAAGAAAAGAGGATCACAGGGAGATTTTTGTTTTAGTCTTTCATCCAACCAAGATTTAAAAGACTTACAGAAAACAGCTTCACACAGAAGTGTGGTATTGAGGAAGGGATGGAGGCTGAAAGAGAAGGGAAAGAGGCAGGGGGTAGTGGTAAACACACCCAGTAAACTTCAGAGATACACAAGTCCACAAATGGAAAGGAACAAGGAGGAACACGTCCAAGCCATCAGTGGATCAGGACATAGGGTGGGTAGGGCACAGTGGATTAGCAACTAAATGGCTTCAGTGATCATTCTGAAACCTGTTCCAATTTATTTTGGGAGTGAATTCTTTTGGACAGGTCAAAGATGTGCTTTAAAATGTCATCAGAATGTAACAGCATTTTAAATATCCTTCTGCCACTTGTTTTCAGGTGATTTTCTTTCGGTTAAAAATTGGAAACAATATAAATCTCACAGGAGGAACAGTCTTTTGATACAGGGGAGGTGAGGTGCAGGATGAACTTACACAGTAAGCGAGAGTCTGTATGTCTTGGTCTTCTCCCTTGACCACTCCACACCTCTGACCTAACAGAGAAGGCAGCTCACTTCCTCTGGAAGAAGCCGGTAATGGACACTTGTCTGTTGATTTTGCCCAGAGCAGCAGTCCCTTTTTTGGGGCCCTTACGGTCCTCTTTGGGTTCTTTTTTCACAGTCATGGCAGGGGGTCTGTGTACAGAGGAAGTCTTTGTCTTAAGCTCCTCTTCACTGTCTGTGCAGGATTCACTCTCAAAGACTTTTTCAGTCACTGGTAGAATAAAGAGAAAATGGGATATGAGTGGGTCAAGTCATTTAGAACACTTACCTATTAGGAGAATGAGGTGTCTTTTTCACTATGATTCCCTCAGACCCTCTGATCAAGGTGGGTGTGCTCACCTAGTACTGAAGCTTTCTCCCACTGGGAGATCAAATTGGGCCCTCAGGTAGGAAATATGTATCTTGAGCTCACACAGCCTCAGAATCAACACTCGGCCTCATTCCCTTACTGCTGTGTCTCATAGTTTTAAATGGGCCCTTACCACTTGACTGCCCAACTTCTACATGTGGGTCCTGGTCTATGCCAGCTAATGTCCTGAACTCTCATCAGAACTACCTGTACCTCAAACACCTACTTCTACTCCATGCTTTGACTGACTTCTTCAGTTCTCACCTCCCTGACCCCACAGTGCCAGCCTATTTCCACTGCTGGTTTTCCTGGTTTTAATCTCTGTTCTATTTATTAATTCCCATCCTGTCCAGCCAGGCTCACCGCCATGGACCCTCCCGGCTAGCTCTATCTTCATGTCAGCCACTCTCTGCACATCCTGCATACAGAGAAGTGGAGATTAAATACTCAACTGTTCAGTTCTTAGTTCTGAGTGACCCAAGATTTAGTAGTGGTCTACATCATGAAGGTAACTGTCCCAAGCAAATTCATTCAGATGACAAACTTGATAAAACTATTTAAGGAAGGACAATAATAAAATGAGAAACAAAGTTACCAATTCTCTTACTTCCTATCAGCCAAGGATATCTTGCCCCGTTTACTACCAATAAAATTCACTAAATCCTCCCCAGTGGAAACTTTGAAAAGAACTATACCAGTGAGTAGTCATAAGGAAGCCCCAAGAGCACAGGCACAGACAGGGGCCTCCAACAATAATGTCAGAGAATTCATGAGGGTCTCTTCAATACTATTGCAATGAATAAACCAACCCCAAGAAACAGAACAATGCCACCTTCCTGTGACTTTAGAGAGCTGTAGCAGCTGTGTAACCACTGTCATTTAAATTTTCTCAGACTTCCTGGTTGTAGCAGGAAGATGATGAGAAACAGTAAAGGAAAAAATCTAAGCTGAATAGTCACCTAATATCCATAATACATGTTCAAATGTTTAAAGTGAAAGTTATTTTTGTCCAGTAAAAAATAATGATAGTTTTTAGCTTTTAACTACTGATCATTTTTTTCTAATAAAATATATTTGTCAAATTGTTCTAGACAAATAGGCTTTGGAATCAAATATATCTGGTGTTTTAGCATCTAGTCTGCTCTCAAACTTAAACATGCATCAGAATCACATGGCTTGTTAAAACAGATGGCTGGGCTCTACCTCCAGAGTTTCAGAGTCACCAGGTCTGGGTGGACCCGAGAATTTGCTTTTTCAACATGTCCACAGGTGATGCTGATGCTGGTTTGGGGACCACACCTTAAGAGTCGCTGTTCTTTCCTCCCCTGTAAGCTGCCTCACAGAATGTAC